CAAAGGTAAGACTAGGGAACCAGCCAACCCCAAAACTGACTATTCCCATCCCCACCCCATACGTGATGACAAAACCAGGTCTTTGGTTTTCTTCTGAAGTCTAAAAGGGAGGGTGGGCCAACCTTTTAAAAGGGAGGGGGCCAACCCAATTTTTGAAGTTAGTATGGTTTTTCAGCCTAGATTTGAAGGAAAGGCAGCTTGAGTACAGATTCAGTGGGTTAGATCAAAGCTTCGTAACGGTCACTCCACCCCCAATGCCCTTGTCTTTGATTGACTTCCTCGTTTAATGAACGTGTTCTCCACTTCCGTCACGGAAGCAGCTCTAGGCAGCTCCCATATTAGGATTAGAAAGAACAAGAGGATAGGAATAAGAACAAACAGATAATCCATAAGCAATCATGCCCAGTGGCCCATGGGGGAAAAGAACAAAACGAAACCCAATCACAGTCAGAAGTCAGAGAGCCTTTACCAGCCAGCACATCACAGCTCATGTGCTCCAGGGCCTGTTGGAAGAGCTGGGTTTTTGAAGATTTGCAAAAAGGACAACAGGGTCAGCACCTGATGGACATATGGGGAGATGGAGTTCTATAGGGCGGGCAGAGCCACAGAGAAGGCCTGTCCCCTGAGTCCTCCATGATGATACTGCTGTCCAGATGGGATATTCAGAAGTAAAGTTTTTCTGAATATTGGAAGTGTCATATAAACTTATAGCTAATAACCTCTATTAGGTCTCCCAATGTAAAGGCACCCTTGAGTTGAACTGGACTCCCCGTGACACATCCACCCTCTTTTCTTGGTAGCAAAGCAGAAGTGATCTGCCATTGCTGCCTTCTGAGATATTCTTTCATCTTTCCAGTGTAGCTTGTAGCCCTGGAATTCCCCTCCTGGTTTCTCCTCCGAGTATTAATCCAGCCTAACTCTGCATCACTTCTGAGTCTATACAGGGTTGGTCAGGGGCTGGGGCATTTAGTGTTTGTGGGATTTAAAAAAAAAAAAAAAAGCTGGTGTTAGGAGGCTATTGTTTTATTTTTATTTTGTTTGTTGGTGGGATTGGATCTCTCAACTGTCTTTCTTGATAGTCTCAAGTGATCTGTTTATTTATTTAATTGTCTGTTGCCTCCGTTGATTGTCTCAGTCAATGTAAGACCCATCTTAGGACAAAGCACATGACAAAGTAGGCTTTTAACCCAAGCAAAGGCTTTGGGCAGATGTCCAACCTATCCTTCAGTTTATGCAATATTTGGACTCTGTATTTGGAGTCATTGGAGCCAGTGGCCTTGGGCCTCAGCCTGGATGTCTAGCAAAGTCCTTCTGAGTGCCTTACAACTACACGTCCGTCCGAAATGATATATAATCCTCCCTTTGAGGGATGTGGTCAGGGAACAGATGTCCCAATGTTGTCCAGCTCTTAAAGTCCAGAAGGTCTTCTCTAAAAGCCCAGGGAGTCGCATCCCTGTAAAAATTAGAAAAAGTGAATGCCATGGCTACCTTTGCATGACGGCAAAATATAAATCTGTGCAAATAATTGCAGACAAATGCGTGCACTTCCCTCCACAGTATTTCTCAGTGGCACAGAGCTATATTTTTGTCCAGCTCTCTTGTAACAAACCGCAGTTTTTGTGGAGGCACATTGCTTTTCTGAAATGCCACAAGGACCGGTTAATAAAATAAATGGAGCTGAAAAAAGCGAGTATAGAAACACGGAGGGAGAACCGTAGTACTTATTACTAGTAGGAAGCAAAAACTTGCTTTGGCTGGGTTAAACATTGGAAGACAATCCTCTCCTGTTTTCTTATCCCACCCCTTTCTTTTTCCTCCCCAAACACTACCTTTTACTTGTTAAAACTCTTCTTCTTCTTCTTGTTTTCCCCCTGCCTAGTTCCAGCTACTCGCTTCGGCACTTTTCAAGTCGGGTTCAGATCTGAGCACATTGGGTGAGTACGCTTCACACTGGCTGCTTTGCAGCTGCCTCAGAAACCGGCTCTGGGTTTAGTTCCAGTAACGTCACGGGCTGAGTTTCAGAGTCATAAGAACACAGACAGCGTGGTGGTATTATCCATATAAGCATTGGAAGCATCGGTCAAAACAAATTAACTTGCAGTACGTCATCCTGGGAGCCAGCAGCCCTTGCCCAGCTGGGGTTTGGGAAGTGGGGGCGGGATGAGTTTGATCTTTGCTTGCTGTGATGAAGTGCGCTGTTCATATGGGTTAGTTCAGGCTGTTCTAGGCAGTCTCTCTCCTTGGGCAGCCTGTCAAGGAAAACAGCAACATTTCAACTTCCCAGAACCAGAAATCCAAGTTCAACTTTGCAGATCATAATAATCCTCCCTTCCCCCACCCTCCACAGCACTTCCACTACTGTATAATCATAATTTGCAAAACAGGCTTGGCTGGATAGCTTTCTTCTCCCAAATCCTATGAAGGTTCTCCCCAGGGACAGCACAGAGCTAGGAGGCAGGGAGTGTGATGGAAGCACTGGGAAGAAACAAGTGATTCAGGCGACATAATTGGAATGCCAACACCAAAACTCAGAATCAAAAGACTGCGTTTCCAAATCCATCTTAGTCTGAATGTTACTTCAAGCACTGCTGAATGCTGCAGATGGCTCTTCCGTGGCTTTGTGACATCACAGAAGTGGCTTTTTCGTGGATTTATCCCATAGCATTCGTGTGGTTTGTTGAAACTCAATGGCTTTATGGTGAAGTTGATGATGCAGATTCCTATTGTGAAATCATTGGCCCAGTTGTAGCAGGATGAAGGTTGGCCCCATCCCAGGGTTTGCGGGACTGTGTGTCTCCCATAACAGCTTTGTGAGATGAATCTGCAGGAAGGCAAGTACCCCAACTTTCCTGAAAGATTTGAAGGGAATATTAAGAGGCCCAGGCTAGATTTGTTTTCAGCAGTTGAACTCTTGGGTGATCAGCCTAGGGTTCAACAAATCAGTGCCTGCCTGCCCCCAGTCCTCCTGTTGAATCTCAGTGTTGCTTATTCTTTTTTCTATGATGAAAGTTAGCACTTCATCTAATGAAGCACTTATAAGGAGATCCTGTAGATGGGGGGTAGAGCATTCGTAAGGTCCCTGATTTGTCCCTTGCAGACCCAGTTAAAAAGCTCTCCATTGGAGAAGATCTTAGCATAAGTTCTATAAGAGTTCTGTATAACTCTCAGTATAAGAGTTCTTGTAAGAGTCGGCATATTCAGCCAACCCCGCCATTCTCCAGTCGGACTTTCCCCTGATGTGTCAGAGCCACAACTTCTACAACTCCCAGTTGGGGCTGCTGAGAATTCTAGAAGCTGCAGTCCAACTCATCTGGAGGACATCAGGTTGGGGAAGGCTAGATCAAATGTCAATCACACACTACACTCGTTAACCAGCCCACATATAAACTACCAAATTCTGCTTATGGAATGGAAACTGTATGCCCACCCTTTTCCTTCTGTATAGCCTTTGGTAAACAGTTCCTTGTGCTTCTCTGTAGCGCTTTCATAGAACCTTTGAAGTCAAAGAAACCATTGTATTTCATTATTCTGACATTCCACAAGTCCTTTCATCTCCCCTGTTCTTTTCTTCTCTCCATCTCCAGGGTTTTCAGATGTTGATCATGTCTACGCCCAACGAACTCAGCTCTTTGACACCTTGGTGAACTTCTTTCCCGACAACATGACCCCTCCCAAAGGCAATCTGGTGGAGCTCATCACACTGTGACAAGCCAGTTGCTGGGCACGTGGAAGGAAGAGGAGGACACTCTGGCTTTTCAGTATTTTTAATTTTTGTGTGTGTGCGCAGTGAGTGATTGGGGAACTGCAGAAATAGAGTAACCTGGTTTGGGGTGGGGCTTTATGCATAGGGCTAATAAAAAGGAATTGATATATTTCTGATAGGCTTGGGGATGGATGGATGGATGGATGGATGGATGGATATACATTCATTCATTCGTTCGTTCATTCATTCATTCATTCTCATTCACATTGATGCTTTTTAAAGATGAGTGAACATTGACATCCAGGGAAAAAATGGCACGGTTTTCTGAGTTTACAGGCCCCCAGGGTGCAAACTCAGGAGTTTGAGGATAGGTAATGCTTTTTTGAGTTGGTTGGTTCACTGCAGTTTTGTCCCCAGACTGATTTTGCTGATTCAAGCTTGCTTCTCAGCCTGCTGACCCCCTCCAGTAGCTGATGCAGGCACCCATAGAGTGGGTGGCGGGTGTAGATCAGACCTTTATTTTTGAACTGCTGTTGGAACTGAAAGGCCGGGCACGAGCTTGGGGGACCGTGCGCCATCTGGTGGCATGGGATGAGAAACAGGAGTCGGAAGGCTCTTAGGCTGACGTTAAGACAGATGTTGGCACCTGCCAAAATGGCGACCTCCCACCTTGCGCCTGTGGAGAAGAAGCAACGCTGGCCAGCTTGTTCCACCTGAAGTTTCTCACGCTAGAAAATGAAACCCCCCTGCACACACACCTTGGTTCCATTTATACATAGGAGTTTAGCAGCACGGAGAATTTCCATGCCAAAAGCCTGCTGCTTGTACAGCAGCTTGGGAGTTCAGCATAGTTCCACCCATATTCTCTTTGCAGTGCAAAGACATTGTAATTCGGGTTATGATCCATGAGCTCTAGCAATGGCTTTGGGGCTGTGTGTGAGCACGTGCACATATGTGCACGTGTGTGTGTTAGTTGGTTGCTTTGTAACCCATCCCTCTAACTTCCCTGATGACTATTTGCATGGGAAAGCTTTCCACATTTAGCCTGGCACAGTTGCACTGGGCTGGAAAAGTGTGGACAACCAAGTCGGTGCACACAAGACCAGAGAGTTTCACCCGGACACAGTCTCCAGCAGGCTACAGTAGTCCTATCGCTGGGTTGTGCCATAGCTGTAGTAGTGTGACTATGGAGGGGAGGGGGCACAGTGTGATGGAGTTAGCGTTCTTTTAACATTCATAGAGGTGGACCTTCTGACACGGGATTGTAAACCCTCTCCCTCCATCCTATGGCAGTTCCTTGTTTCTTCTCCTTTCCATGGTTGGGTTTCTTGTGCTCTTAGATGTTGAGGCCAAGATGTTCATGGCGGAGATGCTATGTATCTCTCCCCCAACTAATGGTGTGACTGCCCAACAGATGTCACTCACATTGACTGCGGAAGAGATTCATCTGCTTTAAGCAGAATGGTCTTGCTTCTTCTGACCATAAAAGGGCATTGTAGTGAACTTCATCCTCACAAACCTTGTAGGTACGAGTTACGGTGTCCATTTCCTTTGCAATAAATACCAAACACCCCGTTTCCCAAAGATCTTGTCACCAGGGACCATGAGGAGAATAGCAAAAATTCAACAAGTTCTCAAGTTTTATCCAGTGTTCCTTAAGTCTTGCACTGAACTTGCTTGCTTTAATACACACCCCCCAGCGTCCCCCAAAGAACAGGGCCGTTTGCTTCCGTTTGTTTCTCATTTGGATCTGTTCTCACGACTGTTTGTAAAATAAGAAAATGAATCAGGATATTGAGATCTCTCTGCTTTAGCTTCATAAATTTGGTGGAAATTATATCATGGAGGAAAGAGTAGCACCTGCGGGGGTACGTGTGAAAATCTGCAAGGTGGCGAGCACAGTGTTATAATAGAAGCCCTGCCCTTTTTGTACATGTATTTTCCATGCACACACAAAAAAGGGCAGGGCTTTGATCAGGGCCTTGCCTTCCATCTTGCCGATTTTCTCATACACATACACATACACATTCTCTCTCTCTCTCTCTTTTCCCCCCCCCTTGGAAACAATATATAATTTATTCCGTTTCCATGGTAATATGAAATGTCTTAAGCATAGCATTTAAAGGTTCCCTCTGGGAAGAAACATATTTTAGGCTAGTCAGGGTTCATAGATACAATGAGCTTCTCCCTCTTCAGTGTTAGGGTAGGGCCAAAAAAGATGGTGTGTTTTTGCCGTTTTGCTGTGTGGTTTGTGTTTTACAGTTTGGGATGGAAGCTGAGGAGCAAACCACACTGGTATTGCTCTTGGTTCCTTCCAGAAAAGAAAAAAAGGGCTCTGACCAGAGATTGGCATTCATAAAATGGTTGAGCGATCAGGAGTGGGGACCTGTGAACCACCAGGTGCTTTTGAAGGACACCTCCTGGCATCCCTTCCTGTTGGCTGTGCTGGCTGGGGAATTCTTTCCCCCCAGCATCTGGAGGGCTTCAGCTGCCCACCTCTGTTTAAAAGGGGTGACTGAGCTACCCCTCTGAAATTATTTCTTAGAACCTCCAGGGGACAGAAGAACAAAAGCCAAGCCAGATCTGCTCTGGAGAATCTGGATTTGGTGGGTTGGCAGAAATTGGTCTGTGGTGAGCTGGACATATGCCAGTACCACCACAGGCCAAGATTTTGGTGTCCACGCAAACTCCAGAGAACCTCAGGCTTTGTTCTCCTTCCTTTTCCCTATTCCAGGCTCAGTGAGAAGACTTTTACTCTTGCTTTTGATTAATCTCATTTTGTAATTTTGTTCAAACCAGTAATTGTGGTTTACATAAACCAGTGTCATAAGCCATTGTTTGATGTCGCTTTGCTTTTAAACTAGAAATTCTGACTCATTCAGAGGAAACAGGTTGGAATCCACCAAATGCAAAATTTACATTGCAAATGGCCTCATATCAGAGATGAAACTTGAATTCATGTGATAAATCCATGGTTGATGATGACATTTGAATGTGGCCAGTAAGTGCGGACTTAAATAAAATGATATATGTTTGTAGAATAGCCAAGTGCCATCTTTTAAAAATTACAGTTCTTTTTTTCCCCCCTTTTGTGAGGCACCTAGATTTTTAAAAGTTTTTTTTTCTATTTTAAATGAATATGCAGTTGTCAGGTATGACACAGGTGCCCGTATTGCAGCTGAACTTCAGTAGAGTCTTATCATCATCTTTAGCCCTCTTTAGATGAACCAGAAAAATTTGCCCAGTTTTTCTGAGTATAGATAGGACCGTGGTAGTCAGGGTTGACTTTTCCCCCCCTCAAGCTTATGATGCAGCCCGTGGGGCTGTTTTGAATGCATTGCATGGACCCATCTTTTACTCCCAGTAGTTTGCATGCCTTACTTCAGGACCCCCCTTTTCCCACTGAGTGCATGTTCATGTGGGATGGGACATGCTAATTGAATGAAGGATATAATGAGGCTCCCTTCAAAATGTTTATGCTGAGAGAGCACCAGCATCTCATAAACACACCTGCCCTTAACCACTAGCTGCAGTCATCCAAGCCATTCAGATGCAGAAGGTATCATCCAGGCTTCCAGACCATGGATCCAATAACACTTCAGCTGAAATCAGACCAAGGTTTGACTTCAGCTTTCCTTAGGCTAGTGCCTTTCAGATGTGTTGTGGCTACAAGCCTTTTTGGCCATGCTGATTGGCAAGCCCAGGGAAAGGCTGATTAACTTTGTTCACGACATCCCATTTTTTAATAACAACAAGTAAATTTGTTGTGGAAATCTTTCCGAGTAGAGCATGATGGTGGCAGCCCTTCCTACTTACAAGCTGGTATTTAAGGCAGGTAGTAGTCCTGTAGGCATCAAGAAACTCTTCATCGTTGGAACTTTTCTATCACCCTTCAGCAGAAGAAGGTGGAATAGGCTGATATTTCCTTTAATAATTTGGTCCAGCTAGTGACTTGGCCATTCAATCAGTGCAGGACATTTCTGGCCAAGTAGATTTCTCTAGATGTGTTAAAGTCTTGGGCTGGTCAGAAGTATTAAGAGATGTATGATATGTGGACTTCAGTGGGGTGAGAGAATAGACCCCAAATGAGTGAAGGTTCTCCAAAAAGATCCTTTTGCCCAATGTTGGGTCATTGCCCCCTTTTATTGCAACTCCTCTTGTGATACACCCCACATGCTTCAGGAGGATCCCCCAAATCTCAAGAGAGGAGCATATCTTGGGGAGGACAGATTAGAAAGTCCTGCATGAGAGAGACCAGGAAATGGGAAGGTGTCCTTGAGTGAGGATGTCTTTCAACTTCTAGGTCTTAATCTGAATTCTCGGATATGATTCTTTAGAAAAGGGAAAGCAGACAATAAAGGTCAGTTCTGCCTTTAGAAATCCTGTATGGCAACTTGCTGAAGCTCTCTGAAGAGGAAGTGTGTCTTTAGCAGCCCCTGAAACCTCACCCAAAGAAGGTCGTCAGAACCTTTTAAATCACTGTGTATGACATTTAATGAGCTCCTAGAGAAAACCAAGTTCATTTTCCACCCCATCTTGTAATTTTGATGCAGATCTAACTGGGCAGTTTGGCAAAGAGGTGGTAACTTCTTGTTATACCTGTGGGATCAATTTCTTCTTGGCACATTTGGTTTTTGCCCTCCCTTTCCCTAATCTTATGCCATCCAAAGGTGGGCTGGGAATACTGATAGTCTTAAAATACTGAAAGGTGCCATGCTGAAGAATGAGCTATGCCCTTTTAATGGAACAGTTTTTAGCTCCTTATGGCGTAGTTCCAGTGTCAAAAAGCCCCACAGAATTGATTGGTGTTGACTTGCTGCATTGGGTCAACCAGGAAAAGATATGTTCTTTTGTGTCTTCAAGACAATGGAAACCGCGCGGCCCATCACATTTGATTGTAGAAGCTCCGAATAATTTGACAGGAACAGGGATGAGTGGTGAAATCCACCCTCTTAATTCTCAACTTTCTTTCCCCCAAATTAAGATGTCCAGATTCTCTGGTGAAAGACATGACAAAGCAATATTTAACCTGCTCGTGTGGACGTTGCGCTGGGAGAAATTACCAGGGCTGGAGTTCAACAGATTGACTTGGTCAACTTGATTGTCTTCTCTAAGAGTGAAACAAAAGAAGTAGAGACGTGCCCTGTGAAATGGTGTGTGTGTGTGTGTGTGTGAGAGAGAGATTTCCCTGGCCAGGTGCTTTTTGACTGCAAGGGTCTCAGGTTGGAGAAGCAATCTGAAGGATCACAAGCGGTAGTGGAAGATGTGGGAGGTTAACAATTTTATTAAAAAAAAAAAGAATTAAGAAAAAACCTAGCTTAGAGGCAGGGCGAACCAAAGGCATTTAGTACCAAAGGCACCACAGCTACTTGGTCCCCTCCAGGATGAGCTAAAATGGAGTTCGGCCAGATTGTGCAAATCAGACTGAAGTGCCCATTGCCATTGTGACACAGTGTGCGTGTGGGATAACCAGTAGTCCCAACAGAATGTGTTCCATGGGTTGTCATCTCCGCTTTTGTCACGAAGCTCCTTCCAGTTCTTGGATTTGCCATCCAGTTGCAGCTGGGTGCAGATCGCCGTGTGAGATGGCTTTCTCTGCCACGCTCACCCCTATGGGCATCTCCAGATGTTCTTTTCTCCGCCCGCAGCCCTTAACTTTGCTTTCCGCCTCCCAGCCCCTCACTGTTTGGTCGTATGATTGTTCTCCCAGGTTGAAGATGTATGTAAGAATGACTCTGGGGTTCGGGGTGGGGAGAGAAGAGCAATTCCCAATGTAGAATTTTGCTGTATGTAATGTATATACGGAGAGAGAATGTATTTTGTTCATTTTTTTTTCTTAATAAAAAGAAATTATGCCAAACTTGGATTTTTGCTATGGGAGTTCCTGGAAACCTTCTCCTGCTTAGGAGTTTGCTCTTTTATTATGTAGTTACACGCCAATTGTTAAAAAGAAAATGTGATTACAAATACCGAATTGTATTTTCACACTAAAATCCAGTTCCTGTGCATCAAATTCCTGCCATAAACATGCAGAAACAAATCCCTCAATATGTATAGGTGGGTTCCTTGGCTGCCAGAGTTGTTCTCACACCAGTCAGTCAGTCAGTCAGTCAGTCAGTCAGTCAGTCAGTCAGGTGCATTTAGGATTCACCTCCAACCTGGCGCCCACTGTGCATATTGGGAATTTCCAATCAGCAAGGCCAAAGGCTTCTCCATTGGCCATACAAGAAACATTTGGATAGCAGATCATGGTGCTGGTTGGGAATTATGGAAACTGCAACTGAAACACATTGGGAAGATGCCTGGTTGAAAAGTTTCTGTGGGAATCCTGCAGGAGACACTCGGGAGAGGTGGCCCCACTCGATACAGCATCAGCGATTGACTTGCAATGGTAGGTGCCTCTGTCCATGTTTTTATCACTGTGGGCTGTCCATAGTCACTGCAGGGAGATAGGTGGCCTCATTGTAGAATCACACGCTTGGAAGGTGCCTCGGAGATCTTCTCATCCAACACCCTCAGACAGTCCCAGACAAATGGCTATGCAACCTTTCCTTGAAGACCTCCAACCATGGAGCACCCACAACTTTGTAGGCAGGCTGTTCCACTGCTTCGTCGCTCTCACAGTCGGGAAATTCCTCCTTGTTTTGAGTTTGGATCTCCCTTTGTAAGTTTTCACCGGTCGGTCCTTGTCCTATCCTGGGGCACCATGGAGAATAATAAATCCACACCATCTTCTCTGCGACGGCTGTTCAAAGATTGGAAAACTGCCATGGTTTCTCCCCATGGCCTTCTCTTCTTTGGCCTACACATATCCAGTTCCTTTAACCATTCTATAAAATGGGATGAGAGACATTTGCAGAAGGAGCATTTACTTAGACCAGTGTTTTTCAACCTTGGCAAGTTTAAGATGTGTGGACTCCAACTCCCAGAATTCTGGGCCATGGCTGGCTGGGGAATTCTGGGAATTGGAATCCACACATCTTAAACTTGCCAAGGTTGAAAAACACTGATTTAGGCCAACAATATAAATGGTATATATAAAGAAATAAATATGCCTCCCTTTTATAGTCCTTTAAGCACATGGCTAGATAGGACCCCCAGTTGTGTAAACTCTAATGTGGGATTATGAAGCATTGGGAGGGACAGCAGAGTTTATCCAGTCCAACCTCCTGCTTGGTGCAGGAACTGCTAAAAGCTCTCTTGGAAGACCTCCACCGAGGGGGAACATACCCATTGATGAGGCTATCTGTTCCATCAGCAGACAGCTTGTACAGCCTGGATACCTAACCTGACATTATTTCCTGTAGTTTAGGGTGCTGTCTTCTGGGAGATTGTAATGGGCAGAAGGAATGACTTGGAGGAACAGGAGGAAAAGCCGCAACCAAGGCAAGGCTCAGATAAGAGAAATCTGAGTCCAAGGCAGAAATGTAATTTGAGGAAGCGTTTCAAACAGGACCCTCCCTAGTTCTCATGAAGATGGAGGGAGGGAGAGGGGAAGTGCATTCAGACTTGCAAGATTCTGTTACTCTAACTTTATAATAAAAGGAGTATTAGCTTGCATGATTTTGATTTCCTAGTCTGGTCTATCTTGAAGGGCTGACAGAGGACAAATCCATTTCCTCCTCTGTATGACCATTGTTTAGATGTCTGACGGTAGCCCTTCTCTGAACTGGCTCCATTTTGTCAGTGTGTTCCAGGTGGGGCCTGGCCAAGAAGGGCAAATCCCATAAACTGGACTCTTAGGTTCCAGTTAATACATCCAAAAATAGCATTTGCCTTTTTAGCAGCTGCATCACACTGTTGGCTCATGTTGAACATAGGATCTACTAGCAACCCCCAGATCCTTTTCATCTGTATTATGGCTAAGCCAGATCATTCCTATGTTCAGCACCATTCATTTTGCTACAGAGATGCAAGATGTTGCATTTCTCCATGTTAAATTCCATCCAGTTCATTTCAGCCCAGATTCAAGCTTGCCTTAGAGATTTTTGAATTTGCAGACGCACTTCTGTCCAGAATCTTGTGTCAATTTCATTCGATGACAATTCTAATCCTGTGCAAGAGGACAAAACATTTCTCTAGTCACTTTTTCATCTCATACTTCTTTTTAAAAGTCTCCATCCTTGTTTTTTTCCCCCCACTTAAAGCTCTGAAACACCTCTAAAACTTTTCCCATAGTCAATGTTGATACTGAAGTTACATCCCGACCAAGGGGTGGGGGGTAAGTGTGGGCATGGGCTGAATGTAAAACTAAATTTTGAAGCACAGAAAACTGTAGGCTTAGAACTAAAACTAAATTCTGCCAACAGCCCCCCCCCCCCCGGCTAATACATTGGCAAGAGAAGTCAACACTCCACAAAAGAAGTTTTTTTTTTAATTTGACAGTAATAAGCAATTTCTTCAAAATATACTTTGTAGGAAAATGTAACCATACTTTTTACAGTCCAGTCTCTTTTTAGAATTCCAGTGTATACCTGACTCCTGTTTCAGCACAAAATGTGCCATGGAAAACTATACAGCGTGGGCCCAGCACCCAAATTTTTATTACAATCAGAAGGGGCTAAATGTACGCCACAGTCCATTCAGATTACAAAAATAGTCAGAGGCCCAGTAAGGTGCAGCGTGGGAGATCCAGATTCAAATCTCTCTTAAGGCTTAAAGAGCATCCCGTGGCCCAAATTGCACATTCCTAGAAGCATGGAAGAAGCATCAGAAGCACATTCTTAGACACAAGGAAGGGGCCCTTCCAAATGTTCTGAACTTGGAACAAAACTTGCGTTCTCGTCACAGAAGTCTGAAACGAAGTGTTTCAACCTGAAACTGGGTCACTTCAAACGTTCCACGCTTCAGAAAGAGAAGGATATTGCAAGAACTTTGTTTTAAGTTCAGAAGTAGACATTTGAACTATTTTGGATTTTGGTGTGATGGAACACAACATTCTCTATTGTGGTGGAAAATCTGGACCAAAGCTGCTTGATCTTAGTCTTCAGACGAGACCATTTCTCATTTCATTTGGTGCCCGTCCCTAATTCATAGCTTAATCTGCTTCTTGGGGTTTATGCAATACAAAGCATGATAAACACAATAATAACAACAAATTTTTTTAAAAAATCTGCAGGTAGATAATGGTAGAAGATTACCTCTTTGATTTGTATAAAGGTTGTGTTAGTGGGTGGGGGGAATGGAATATTTTGGCCCCAGCACAATCAAAGCTGCGAACAACCTGTGCTTTTATTCATTCCTGAATGGAAATGAGCAGAGTCTTCTTACTCTGTGCCGCTACGGTTTATCTCGTTTGCTGTAACGTGGATCCTGGAAAAAACATGCTGGTAGTGTAACAAAAATAACTTGAACCCAATGGATTGGATTGTTGAATTGAGTTTGTGCAGGTGCTTGCTCCAAATCAGTGTTTCTCAACCTTGGCAACTTGAAGATGGGTGGACTTCAACTCCCAGAATTC